TTGACTTGCATTTTTCACCCCTTTCTACATGGGACGTAGTTTGGCTTGAATCTTTCACCCCTCTTTCTGAGACATAGTTTGGCTTAAATCTTTCACCCCTTCTACATGATGCATAATTTGGGCTTATACTCCATCTCTTCTTCATGATTTTTGAGCAGTTTGCTCGTTTGTCATTTTGATTGTTGTATTATGTATCATTTGCATCCTGCCCTTGAACTACGCTGGTTTGATTCCTTGCAAAGGGATACGTAGGTAACTTTTGAGTTCAACCAAGTACATTTGCATTTTGTTTGTCTGCCCAAGTCTTACGGTCTTGTCAAATGGTTGTCTTCGGGTGTTGACATTCACTCACGTCATTTCATGATGTACAGAGTTCTGTCAAAGAGGGGCAATTGTAGACATCTCATTTTGACCACCCTTAAGACTTGGGTGCTTTATTTTGAACACTAGATGATGAAAGGTTACATTATGCGATCTTTTGAACTCTTAGCAAAGAAATCTGGGTTCAAGCTCTAAATCCCAACCTTACACCCCATTTTGATGAAAATATTTTAGGCCTCAGATCCTTATTTTCAAAGCATTTCTCCGACCTGCACTGACCATACAACAGTAAGATAGAAGGCAAATTTTAGACCCAGTCGTGGGTTATGTGGCCCAACCGTTGGTATTTAGACATGGCTGGGTCTCATTAGCGACAGATAGTGTATCTACAGGATTTCACCAGCTGTCCTTTTTTGAAAATATTTTTGACTAAAAATCTCAAATTCTATAAATAGACCCTCTTCCTTCAGAATTTGAGGTTGAAAAAAAATATCAAAAGGCCTTGAGGTTGTTAGGAGCTTAGAGCATACCCTTTCCTTACAAAGACCTCCGTACCACCTTTAGCTATACATACACAATACATACACCATTAGAGCTTGTTCTTGAAGCCTTTTGCTAATGTTTCAAACTATATTTCAGATACTTGAGGGTGTTGGGATTGAAGTGTGATAACTAAGAAGTTACCTTCTTTTCAAGAGGTAGAACTTTGCGTTCTTCTCATTTCCTTCTCTTTTACTCTTTTTCTTATTTTGTACACTGCTTTTGAGTTGTTTTGGGGCTGAAATAAGTGATTAAAGTTACAAAAAGAGGGAGGGGTCGGCCATCCTTCCTTAGGTTTGAATGCTAGTTGTTAACTATAGCTTCTCTTCAATTTTTTCCTTCTTCTTGCTTTCTAGTAGTTTTAGCACTATTTTTTTTTTGTGTATTTGCGAGCTGTTTAGTATGTTAATTAATTATTATTTGAATATTTTTAGTTGCACTATTGTAATAGCGTAATAGTCCTCGCGGGTTTGGTGTGTTTAGGATGTAGCTGCCAATTCGTTTGAGTTGATAGCTTTTCTTTTGTTTTTATAGCTTTTCTTAATCGTGTAATAGTTCTCATGGGTTTGGCATGCTTAGGATGTAGCTGCCAATCCATTTGAGTTGGTAGCTTTCGTTTTGCTTTTATAGCTTTTCTTATGTATACTGGAACCATGTGGTCATGAGAGGTTTAGAGCTGAGCCAACCCACCACAAGTTTGATTAACTAGTTGTAAATCTTTTGATTCCATGATATTATTATTTACCTTGAAGCTAAGTGGTAGCCTCCATGTCAAAAGTGTTGAAAAACTCTCTTTTTGATCATTTTCGAAACATGGAAACGGATAACTCATCCTTATTCCATGAATAAAAGTGGAGTTGTCAACAACTTTTATGAGTTGTGTGTTTAAGCTTTGATAGTTAGCTTGATTTTTGGTGCTTCTCCCTTATTTCCATTGTTGCTCATATATAGCTCGTTATCAAAACGTGTTGACAACTCTCTTTTTGTTCCACTTTGAAGTATGGAAATGGATGTTTTATCCTTATTCTTGAGTAGGAAGAGGAGTTCACAATAATTTTTTGAGTTGTTGTAGTTTTTTCATTTTAGTCGCTTCTATAATCATCACATACTATCTTGTGATGTTTGATGGTTTGGGAAGTAAGTCTACATCTTCCTTGAATTCCTTTATGATAGGAAAGAGGTAAGAAGAATAGCCTTTTATTTTTTATGTTTATTAGAGTCTTTCATCCTGTTACTTCTAAGATCATCATGCAACAACCTTGCAATGGTTGATGATTCGGGAAGCAAACCTATTTCCTTCTTGAATATCTCCATGATAGGAGGGAGCAGAAAGGATGAAAAACCTTTAGAAATAATCTCTCTGCACTATTATTACCTCACTGCCCAAAATAGGTTTTTTGGTTGAAATTAAAGCATGACCGGTTTTTGTTGGACACGACTGAGCCTTAGAGTGGAACGACCAGGCCTCAAAGCAGATAAACAGAGTGCTGTTGTTAGCAAAATAGAGCAGTGGCTGAGGGTATAACAGAACAGTTTAGTAGAAGTTAGATAGAGCAGTTTCGGAGGGATGGTGCATATTTGGTTCATGCTTTGAGTTGCTTCACATATCATGTTAGTAGTCAAATTTGTTAGTCATATTTTGCATGTGTTGCATTAGCCGTTTTGCATACTAGGATCATGTTTTTTTTCTATATTATCTTCTTTTCTTTGGCTTGCCACAGTTGAGTACTAGGTGAGCATTTTTTTGCTGTATCATATCAATGTGTGCGTTTGTATTGCCATGTTGAGCATACTACTATGAGTCTACTTGCTTACTTGAAATATCTCTATGAATGTCTGTGGATGGAGGCTATTTTTCTTAAATTGGAATGACTTTGATTGTTGTACATATTAGCTCATTTTTCCTTTGAGTTACGCATATTCGAAAACTCTTTCCAATTGCATGAAATCGAAGCATTCTGAAGTAAGTGACGTGGCCTATACTTGTTTGCCTCACATAGTAATGTTAGTATATTAATAATCAGAACATGAGTATATAATGTCTATAAAATTCACATCATGATTTAGTAGAGGCTGATCTTTGATCAGATAAGTGGGATCCTCAATTCATGACCTTCCCCTCTCATACCTAATTTCTAGAACTAAGACAATTTTGGTTATAATGGACAAGTGGCCTTTGGCAGGAGTCACGGGTTTCTTAAATTCTCCCAAAAAATATTAGGTGGAAACGCTAAAATTTGACAATGCATTCCATTTTTGGCATCTCTGGTGATTAATGGATTTTTCTAAAAATTTGCCGGATCTGGACTTTCATTTCCTTTTGTTTCACATTGTACTCATGAAACCAGATTCAAAACCACGGGAGTCTGAACTTTAGGGAATCGCATCCGAGGAGACTAAACCCCTCCAAGGAGTGCAAAAAACCAGCTACAGTAGGCAGCTTCATCTTGAAGTTTGGCCCCAACCATTTTCAACTCACTTATCCCGTCCATGTTTGATTGGTATATCTTTATTCGACTCGGCTGTCCTATCCATGGTTGATTGGTTTATCTTCGTTTGATTCAGTTATACTATTTCTTCTTCATGGAAGGTTTAGTTGCAAGATGGATTTAGTGGTAATGCATTGTATCCTACTGAAGTTATCTAATTTGAGTTTGTGCATCTCAAGGGCTAATTCCATGTTGGTCGGGTAGTGGCCTTTTGCAAAAATAAATTTTGAGGACTTTTAATGATGTTGACTAATTTTCTCGAAAATTATTCTATTGGTTTTGCAAAACCAGACCATTTCCTGAACCCAAAAAAGGAAAATTTCAGTGTTGACAGCTTGACTTACATGATTTCAAAACAAAGAGTGGAACAAGCATACTTATTTAACTCTTATGTTGATCAAACTCTTTTTAGCAAAAAAAAAAAAGAAAAGAAAAAGAAAAAGTCAAAGCAATGAACTAGGGGGATAGTCGAGTCGAGACTTTTTAGTCTCAGGCTAAAATATTTAAAAAATAAAAAAACCAACCCACACCCCAAATGAACTCCCAATGATAATTGATCTTATCAATACATGTGAGCGTTAGTAAATATGTTAATATCGCTAACATTGTTGCATTTTTTTAATTCAACATTTGAAAGTGAGATGCCTATACCTTTTTATCATGTGTATTAGTAAAATTTTTCTACTAGTTATTGGTGTAAATTAAACTATTAGAGGTTGCATCCCATCTTTTAAAAAAAAAAGTTGCAATTTTAATTCTATCACTGAAGTATTCAATGTACCAAAAAGATTTCATAGGAAAATAACAAATCTAAAAATGGGAAATTGTATCCTAAAAACTATACATTTCGTCCAAAAAATTGAAATATTTCATCTCAGTGAGATGAAATCATGAAATTTAATCCAAATGACATTTTTGCATAAAATTTAAAAAATACCAAAACTATAAATTTCATCCCATAAATAAAGAAATTTCATTCCAATACCAAATTTTGGAGTAAACTTTTGAAATTTCATCCAATTAATATTTTTTCATAAAATTAAAAAGTAAAAAAAAAAAAACCATAGTTCTGTTAAAACTGGGATTTAAAATGAGAAATTTTAACTCAAAAATGTAAATTTCATCTAATCGACAATTTTGCATAACATTCAACTAATTGAGAAAATTTTTAATTTTGACAAAATTAAGAAAATCTTTAGTTTTTGGAAACTGTGAAAATTTCATAGCTAAAATGGAGAGATTTTATCCCAAAAAGGGTAAAATTTATCTCATAAACTAAGAAATTTCATCTAGAAAATAAACTGACAAATTGATAATTTTCCATAAAATTTAAGAAATTGAGAACTTTCTCAAGTAAACTAACAAATTGTAAATCTCATCCTAATAATTGAGAAATTTTCTGTCCAAACCCAAAACTGAACATTCAGGATAAGATTGTGAATTTTATTAAAGAATTTTCAATTTTAAAAATTAATAAAATTTTCATTTTGCAATTTTGTAGTTTGCAATAAAAAATAATCTTATAGATTTATTTAGTGCTATTTTACAGTCCAGCTTGAGCCCCACCCGGCCAAGTCGAGACCCGGATAAGAGATAAGGGTGAGAAAAATGAAAGATATATGGGGGGAGAGGAGATGGAATAAAACACAATAACAGACTTGGGTTTGGGTTTGGGTTTGAGTTTGGGTTTGGGTGAGGTGTACACTGGAGAGAGAGAGGCCATGTCGATGTCTGCTTCACTTTCCTTCCTTCAAAGTGCTTGCGCGTATTCGCAGCAGAAGCTTTACCTCCGTGCCAAGTTGGAGTGTTTAGGGTCCTCGTCCTCCTACCAGCCGCTGATTGTTGAAGCCAAGGCTAGAACTAGAAGAGAAGACAGAGCTGCCCGCCACTCTCGCCTCAGAAAGAAGGTATCCCCCCTTCCCACATTTTATTTCAAATCTCTTCCTTGTTAAAAGGGTATGATGTTGGAATTGTCAGTAACATTTATATGAGACAAACAGGACTATCATTACCATTTGTTTTCTGAATACGTGCTTGTGGATGTCTACAACGATCCCTGTTCTTGCAAACCAAACACTAGGGTTTTACTGTTAACCCTTCAGATTAAAATAGGGCAAACAAAGAAATTAGGATAAATCCAAACGGATAATACTTGCTTCAAGTCCTGAGATAAAATATTCCTGAATTATTTGGTTTGAAATGACGTGTATTTGACTACCTTCACATTTTTAACCAAACACTGGTCTAGTAAATCTATTGGACATGGAGTCCTCAATCCCATGAAATAAACGCCCTAAGGGTCTGTTTGATTGAGTGGATTATAGTATAGGATTGGGATTACTAATCATGGAAATGGAATGTCTATTGTTTGGTTGCAATTTTTGCTATCGGGATTAGATTCTGATAGACATTCTATTTAACAAAATTGATGGTCTTTTATTTTATTTTATTTTATTTTTAATCTTACAACTAATAATGCAAAACAAACATATAATTGGGATTATATATTTTCATATCCATTGCAAAACAAATGTGGGCAAGAGAGAATTATTTATGAAACTAATCCAGCTAGATAACCAATCTTACACTAATCCCATAAATTATTAATCTTCTCACTATTAATCATGCTAATCAAATAGGGCCTTATATTCTAAAGTTTAATGTCAGGAAAAACATCAGTTTTTTGGGGGCTTAGCATCTCCACTTATTGCATCCTCTATTACATGTTATCAGGGACAATTTGGCACATTTATAATATGTTAGGTCTTTCCCTTCCTTAAAATTTTCATTTATGGTGATCATATCACTTGTTTGTATTGTTGCATCTATAGGTGATCAAATCATCTTAACTTATTCTAATTTATTTTTAGATGCTACTCTTACCATTTATTTGTATTGATGTCTAATTCTATCTTTTCTAGTCTTACCACTAATCTATTTAAGTTTTCTTATGTTAACTAGACACATTTTATGAATGTGTTGTTTCTTAGTTGCTCTATATCAAGTTTCGTACAACATTGTTGGCCTTATAGTAGTTCTATAAATATTTTCCCTTTCAATTATTTTGGTATTCATCAATCACATAATATGCTAGATGCACTCCTCCACTGAAGTCAACCTACTTTGATTATATGGATCACATCATTCTCAATCTCACCATCCTTATTGAAATGTTTACTATAAATTATCTCATGGTTTTCAATATTCAATTCTTCATTGTTTCTACTTCTACTATCACTAAATCAGGGGTGGAGGGAAATAAAATTGGTAAAAATCATATTTTAAAAAAAAAATGCTTAAAATCTTCTAGAGACATGAAATTGCTTTCTTTTGTGAGTTTCTATAAGTTCTTAATTAGATCACTAATGAAACTTTATGAGCTTAAGCACATTGAATAATTTTGAAATAATTACATAGGAACTTCAATAATTTTCAATGAACTACATTTCTTTTTGGTGTAGCTTCTTATAAATTTAAAGTTGATAATTAAAAAAATTGAAGCTAAAAGCATTCCTCTTAGTTTTCTAATAGTTAGCTCTTTTCAAGCTATTTAACTTATTGTTTTTCTCATAAAATGTAAGCAAAAGTTGCACATAACACTTTAGTATATATTCTTTAGATTAAAAAAAAAAAAAAAAAACTATAAACAATGCAAATAAATTTCACCAAACAAGACCATAGGCTTAAAAAAAGTTGATAGCATGTGTAAACTTATACTAGTCTCCTATAATTTTTGGTTTAGTTAATTATCTTATATTTATTTTAATAACTATTTAATCCTTATAAACTCGATCCGACACACTATTTACCTGTGCGAAATTTGGCCGTCTCTCACTAAAATTACATTTCATATATTTAGTTTTATTTCTAAATTCTACTACCCCTTTTTGACTATCCTGATTTCTATTTTAGTGTTAATTCATTTCTTAATATTCACTATTTGTTATTCATTTATATTCTGATGAAGTTAATATCAGTACAACAAAATTGATACTTAGTTATTGACTGACCCTTGTAAGGGAAAGTCCTAGATCCATCTTGATTATAGGAACATTGTTCTATTTTCTACTATTCGTGGGATTGGAATTGGACCCTTTTATGGTCCATCCATGTATTTGTTGGATTCTGCTTTTAAAATCAATTATGTTGTCTTGACTACCCAATATGTAGTATTTGTCAATTATACAATTCACTTACTATTTTCTCAGGTAGAAGGACTTAGTTATTGACTGACCCTTGTAAGGGAAAGTCCTAGATCCATCTTGATTATAGGAACATTGTTCTATTTTCTACTATTTGTGGGATTGGAATTGGACCCTTTTATGGTCCATCCATGTATTTGTTGGATTCTGTTTTTAAAATCAATTATGTTGTCTTGACTACCCAATATGTAGTATTTGTCAATTATATAATTCACTTACTATTTTCTCAGGTAGAAGGGACACCAGAAAGGCCCAGACTGTGTGTCTTCCGCTCCAACAAGCATCTCTATGTCCAAGTGATTGATGACACTAAAATGCATACTCTTGCTTCAGCTTCAACGATGCAGAAACCCATATCCGAGGAGTTCAACTACAGCTCTGGTCCCACTATCGTAAGTTCCCATACACTAATATTTGCCAATAAGAAAAAAAAAAAAGAAGAAAAAAAGACAGAAAAAGATAAGGTTCACGGGACAAATTACGAATTAACAGCTTCTTATTATTCTTTTTCACAAATTATCAACCAGCTCACCCAATGCCTTTGGTGAAAGACTTTATTGCAATTGCTGAGGTCTGTTGATTCAGTGACCTTAAATTGCTTTGGCATAGTATGCTCTTGCTTAATTATTGATGCCTCGAGGAAAATGTCATGCCCTGGATCTCTGAGACCTGGACCTGTAATACATGAGTCAACGTGACTAAGGCGCTGATGCAAGAGAGATAGTTAAATAAACAATGACAATGCTGTTCCGGAATAAAACACAGTAGAACCTTCCCCTTTGGAAAATCAATGCTCCGACCCTGTACATTCCCAAGTTATGAAAATTGGTAGGAATGTGCCTTTTTAAGGGTACTTTCACATGGTATAGGCCTCAACATGTCAGATATATTGGAAATTAGAAAGACAAGTCTGACATCGCACAAGGGTCAATTTGCAGTAGAGGACAGATTCTGTGCTTTGACTTTGAAATTTGATTTGCAATGACATACTTGTTAGAAATTTATGAAACTCTCCTGATTTCATCTACTATGAGTTTAGTTTCCAACCCCATTGGTCCTACTTGATTTGGTTTTGTAAATCTCTTTTTCCAAAAACCAATTTATAAAATGCAACAGAATCTGTCTGATTTTGAGAAAATGGTAAAAAAAAAAACCCACTCTACAAGACCAAATGAGGTCTGTTTGATATCAAATTGTTAAGGACCAGAGATCTACTTACTGTAAAAATTCAAGGTTGTGTGTCAAAATATTTTTGGAGATCTGTCCCTCCAAAGTGGACTGCTCTGCTGTGACTATGCTTTTTGGGTTCTTAAGGTCACCAGATAGATTATACAAACTTTGGATCACCAATATAGCCTAAAACCATGCTTTTAAACTTCTAAAATTAGAATACTAATCATAACATTACTATGAGAGAGAGGTGGCCAACTCAAGGTAAAACAAAACTTAAAACGATAATTTTAAATGAGGTATATTTTTAAATAATATTTTTTTTGTGAAATTTGTTACACTTTTTTAGGTGAAAATTATTATTAAATATTTAAAATTAATTTATTATTATTATTATTATTATTTTATTTATTTTTATATATTCATTGGTCTAATTGATATTTTGGGGTAGTTTGCTGGTAAAATGAAGTTTTTTGTGCCACGTTAACAATTTGAATATAGATGGCAGTGATAAAATTGATGCAAAATCAAATGGTTTTAGAGTAAAATTGATATTATTAAAAGTTTTTGAGTGATGATTTGAGAGGCAAAATGAAATTTTCTTTGTAAAATATGAGTGCTGATATTTGCATAGCTTTGGTGTCAGGATGTGGCAAAAAAAGTTGGTAAAGTTATTGCTAAGGCTTGTCTGGATAAAGGAATCACAAAGGTGGCCTTTGACCGAGGCGGATATCTGTACCATGGACGTATTGAAGCCCTTGCTGATGCAGCTCGGGAACATGGTCTTGAATTTTAGTGCTTGGGCAGACAATTAGTTGTTTACTTCTAAATTGGTCATTTCTTTCATTTTCCTACTTTTTTTTTTTTTTTTTTTTATTCCCAAATTTTTTTAAAAAAAACTTGTTGCAAAAAGGCAAGGGATGGATAAATATTCAGTTTGAACGTGGATGCGGATGATCATAGATCTCATGTCTGTTTAAATTGAAAGAAATTTGCATAAAACTTTGGGCTGAGTGGCTGTTGATGTTGATTCATGTCTAATCTTGTAACAAAGGGTTAGCTGTCCATACTAATAACGTGTAATTATGCAAGTGAATGAATTGAAAGGACGCGTATAACATTTAGTAATGATCTGTCATTGATATAGCTTTGTCTTATTTTTGGGGGTTACGCTGCTAGAGAAGCTGAGTGTACAAATTATGATTTTTTGCCTACCTATGATCTTTCAAGAAAGGGATTTAAGAAGCATTCAGCGTATGGTACTGACAATTTCCAGGATTTGGTTTCATATGGTCTTTTCAAGAAAGGGATTCAAGAACCATGGTGTGGGTAGTAATGAAATTTCATGTGACTGTGTCTTGTCAACTTGTAAGATCTTGTAATATATCTTCATTGTGGTATGATATTATCATTCTTTGGTGTGTGAACCTATGGATCTTGATGGCATTAATGGTCTAATTCGCAAGGCTCTTAAATCACATTTGGTTGATTGTAGCCTCACAGGTTTGTTGTTAGTTTGCCAGTTTAATCTTGATGGGGTTTTACATATCTTACATTCTCAAACTCGCAATGAAGTTCTTATATAGAACTAAATGGAATATACTTTTGAAATTGATTGGAGTTTTTATATAAAAGTAAACTAAATAACAAATTCGCCATTTTGTGCTATGACCACTTTTTTTCTAATGGAAGCTTAAAATTGGTCAAGACCTCCGTAGATTTGCCTAAACTTTGTGAATTGATCTTTTTCATATTGTGCGGAACTCAAGCAATACTTCAAATTCAAAGTCGTTAAACACACTTTAAATGAATTTTATCATCTGTCATAGTCGCAACAAATTTTTATCATCTCTCAAAGTCGCAACAAAATTTATAGAATAGATCCATTTACAATCCGCTGTTGCAACTCGCAACAATGGGTAAAAAAAATTTCAATCCCAATATAGTATATAATATTTATCTGTTTCAATACACTAATAGTTGAATGATGTGAGAAACTTGAAATATATGAGATTCTTGAAGGATGAGGATTATATTAAGACATACAATTTTGGAGAAAGACAATCTTGTGTTGATAAAATGGATATATAACATTAAAATTAGGGGTGAAAGAATAACCGGAAGGACCGACCGACCCGAACAGTTTTCGGTCGGTGTTTTAAGTTTTCAATCGTTCGGTTCGGTTTGGTTTATTTTTTTCTGTACATTCGGGTCGGTTTATGATTTTTGGTTTTCTGAACCGAACCGAACCGCACCGAACCGAACCGACATATATAATATTAAAAGTCTTAAAATCCTAGCCAAAATGTGAGGCCCCAAACTTATGCAAGAATTACATGGCTTTAGGTCCAAATTTTATGCAAATGGATAAGAATATAGGCCCAAAATGTGAGGCCCAAACCTATGCAGGAATTACATGGCTTGAGGCCCAAATTTTATGCAAATGGATAAAAATATAGGCCCAAAATTTGAGGCCCAACCAGCAAAAAAAAAAAAAAAAAAGTCGAAAAATCGAAAAAACCGCACCGCACTGTAATAAACCGAACCACGCCGGTTTATGTCATTTTTCTGGGCGGTTCAGTTCACAAATATGCAAAACCGAAATTACCGGTTCGGTGCAAAACTAGTGAAAAAACCGACCGAACTGAACCAATTTCACCCCTAATTCAAATATAGTGGTTATCAAATTGTAAAAGTGAATGTCCATGATACAAAATATAAATACAAAAAGACAAAAATAACCCTAAAATGTTTACGATACCCTTTTTTCCCCCTTTTATTTGAAGTCACCCAACGTGTTTGAAGATGTCAATCATCCCTATCAAGACAATTTTCCATTTCTTCCACTAGTTATATCACTTTCTTTTTTATGAATGAAATCAGTCCGTACTCACTTTTTTTTCATCAAATATATATATATATATTTTTTTGAAAAATACCAACTAATCCTCGAAAATCGATTATCAACTTTTTATGGAAGAAATTCGTCTTCAATTTTCACATTGAAATACAAAAAGACAAAAATAACCCTAAAATGTTTACGATACCCTTTTTTCCCCCTTTTATTTGAAGTCACCCAACGTGTTTGAAGATGTCAATCATCCCTATCAAGACAATTTTCCATTTCTTCCACTAGTTATATCACTTTCTTTTTTATGAATGAAATCCGTCCGTGCTCACTTTTTTTTCATCAAATATATATATATTTTTTTGAAAAATACCAACTAATCCTCGAAAACCGATTATCAACTTTTTATGGAAGAAATTTGTCTTCAATTTTCACATTGTTTTCATCAAATATTTTTTAAAATACTCAACTAATCTTCAAAACCAACTCTATCAATTTTTTATGAAAGAAATCCGTCTTCAATTCTCATTTTTTTCGTCAAATATTTCTAAAAATTTCCAACTTTTCTTCGAAACTATTTCCTTCACTTTTTTTATCAATGAAATATGTCTATACTTGTTTTTTGTCATCAAATATTTTTGAAAAGTTTCCAAATATTCCTCAAAACCGACTCTATCATTTTTTTATGAAAGAAATCCATTTCAATTCTCACTCTTTTTTTGCTAAATATTTTTGAAAATTTTGAACTTTTCTTCGAAATAGTTCTATTAACTTTTTTCTGGAAGAAATCCATCTATACTCACTCTTTTTCCATCAAATATTTTTGAAAACACCCAACTAATCCTTGAAACCGACTCTATCAATTTTTTATGTAAGAAATCCGCCTTCAATTCTCTCTATTTTTTCGTCAAATATTTTTGAAAATTTCAAGCTTTCCTTCGAAACTAGTTGTATTACTTTTTTATGGAAGAAATCCATCTATACTCACTCTTTTTCATCAAATATTTTTGAAAAATACCCAACTAATCCTTGAAACCGACTCTATCAATTTTTTATGTAAGAAATTTGTCTTCAATTCTCACTATTTTTCATCAAAATTTTTGAAAAATACCAAACAAATCTTGGATTGTATTGGAGTAAATGAGGTTGTCTCTTATTTATAGGCAACTAAGGCCTTCCTACGAACATTTTAGAATATATAAGAAAGAAATTATGTAGAAGTTTGATAGAAACTTCCCACATCCTTACAAGAAGGTTTTAGAATTGCCTCTAGAACCAACTATATAAATATCTACACCATTCTAGAAGAATATACAATACTCTTTTACTTTCTCATTTCTATATGAGGTTCTAGAATCTTCTATTATTTCTATTTCTTTGATCCTCATTTAAATGCTTAGAAGCTATTCTAAATGTATAGTATAGAATTATGTACAAGAGTCCTACATTCTCTCAAGTCTTCTAGGAGCTTCTGGAATCTTTCATTAGCTTCCTTTCTTTCAGCCCTCATCTTAGTAGGCAATTATGTCTAGGTAACTTGGCAGGATGTGACATATGGCACTTACTCTAGTACTACCTAGCCCCTTCCCAGCTACCTCCAACCTTTCTCCAGATCACCACACCCTAACTTTCTCTCTCACCACTAGGGATGTGTGTGGTGCGATTCAGTTTGTTTGAAAGTAAAATTATAAATCGAATAGAGGATTGTTGGATAAGCAAATCGCAGTTTGGACGGATTGACGGATTGAAGAATATTTTAACCAATTATTAAGTATTTGCATAATATATAATACTAATTTGCATAATATTTTTTATAGATATAACACAAACTAATTTTATATAATATTTTTCATATGTTTAACTATTAATTTATAACAAATTTCACATTTTATATTTCTTTCACTCTCATTTTTACTTTGATATTTCATTAGAGATTAAAAAATATATATATATATATTAACTACAGTGGAGTGGAGTGATTTTGAAGGCGAATTATAAAATTTAAAGTTTAATCCACGATTAACGGATTGAGCGGTGTAGATTAATGTGAATTTGTGCAATTTTTATAGATTAAATGATATTTTGCATAGCTCTACTCATCACCCACTCTAGCCCCTACTCCATTCCTTAGAAAATTGATTCAGGAGGGGCACTCATTGATTTTAATGTTGATTTTTTTTTTTTTTTTTTTTTTTTTTTTTTTTTCATTTCGTTGATCACCATTTGATTTCGTAACTAATATTTCACAATATTTATAACTAAAAATAAAATTATTTCTTCATGATTGTTTAAAAATAAAGAAACTAAAATCTCTTCAGAAATTTATAATTTTAACTCAAATCTCCCTAAATAAAAGTTCCTAATTTCAGCACATCGAACTTCTTAATTTTAACACAAAAAACTACAAATCAAAATCTCTAATTTTTTTAATAATATACAAACAAAAAAATTTCACTTTAAAATAAAACATACCTATGAAGATGAGTTTCATTTACAAAAATGGTATTGTCAAATTATTTTAATGATATTTTTGTATAAATTTGTAGAGTTGTAAAAATAAAAAAATAAAAAACTGAAAATGAACTCTCTCTTCCCTCGTCCGACCACCTTCCACAACCACTCCGCCCTTGCATATGCAACTCCATAGCCCCTTTCCTTCTCCATAACCCCTACCTCCTCCATCATCTTCTTCTTCTTTTGCGTAACTCTCTCTCTCACACTCTCTTTTAAGACTTTCCTTCTATACAAGTGGCTAGGGGTGGGGAACTCTCTGGTTTAACAGTTACTTGGAGAAACATTTTTACTATCAAACCGTTGGGGATACTCTCAAATATGCAACTTGATTGCAACTAAAAAGGTTATTTTGAGGTATCTTGAAAAAAAAGGTTATATATATATATATATCTTCAAGAAAAGTTGCCCCATTACTGGCATGAATAGCCAATCAGACCAACACAAAATCAACTTTTGAATTACACTCTTTTTACCAACACAAAATCAACTTTTGAATTACACTCTTTTTTTA